AGAGCTACGTTCAACACGACCAATCTAATACGCCACCTGAGAAACAAACACCAACAACAACGGCACTGAAACAACCGACACTTTCAGAGACTTTTAAAAGGAAAGAGAAACTGCCCCAGAACAGTGAAAAGGCCAAAAAAATAACAGCCAAGATAGCTGAATTCATCGCGTTGGATGACCAGCCGTTATCTGTTACCTTTTTTTTTCTCTTAATGCATTACATAAAGATCGGATCGGGAAAAATCGGTATCGGCAGATTGTCAAAATCAAATGATCGGAATCGGATCGGGAGCAAAAAAAGGTGATCGGGACATCCCTAGAACAAACTTCACATTTAATTCTTTTCTGACAGTCTTTGCTTAGATGTCCTTTCGTTAGACAGCCAAAGCAAATTCCTTGTGCTTTTAAGCAGTCAATCTTTTCATTGTGAGATTTTTTGTTCATGTTACATGTTTCAGAGGTGTGTTCTCCTGCAAAAAATACACAGCGCTTCTGAACAGTAATGCCTTTATGGTCTGATTTGATGTTTTGGAAAGGTTTTTGCTCCTCACTGACTCTTGGGCACAGTAACACAACTACTTCCCTTATAACCATGAGCAGGCTTATTGCTGGGTGATTTGTACACTTTAATATCCCTTTTTGGCCTGACATCCTGTATGTCTCCAAACATGGGGTCTGATGCAATGCGTTCATGCTTTTCAAGTAAGTTGACCAATATTGGAAACTTTGCTCTTGTCTTATTGTGTTCATATGCAGTTGTTCTCCACTTTTCCCTAAGTTTAAATGGGAGTTTCCTTATCACATATCTCATGTTTGATGTGCTATTCATTTAATCCAAAAACTCAACATCTTCCATTGTGTTGCAACATCCACGAAGAAAGATAGCATAAGAATGCAGTGCTTTTCTATCTTCACTCTTGATGGCATTCCAGTTCAACATTTTGTCCAAACAAGCTGCTGCGAGAGTTGATGTCCATAGTTCTCTTGGAGCAGTCTTTTTGCTTCCAAAAAGCCCTTTTTTTAATCCATGTATTGGCAACTTTTTACCAAGTCTTAAGCTTGGCCTTCTGTATACGGCTCTAGAAAGAACAGCCTGTCTTTGTAATTGTCAGTTTGATCTTCTATTGTATTTTTCGAACATTCTGATGAATGAAAGGTACTGTAATGGATCTCCTTTAACCTGTTAAGCCCCGAGCCTGTTTCCCAGGTCTCAGGCTCGAAAATGACATTCCCAGAACAAATGACCATAACTTCACTTCTAAAAGGGGTAAATTAATCATCTTTTTTCTCAAACAATGATAAACCTGTGAGTTGGATGTAGAAGAGTCAGAATCAATATAGATTATTATTTGAAAGTAAATTCAGATTGAACATACCGCAGTACTTTTCCCACTTTAGTTCCGATATAGTTCCGAAATGTTGCGTTCACACCAAAAAGAGCCGGAACTAAAATGAGTTCATCAGAACCTTTTCTACCCCCTTTTCCGTCCCTGCTAGAGAGCAGGTACTTTCGTGGGAGAAAAAGGTTCCTATGTCTGATTGGCTGGGCGGAATGCAAACCACGGCCCGTAAAACTCCAAAAAAGTGTTGTGAAGCCGCCATTTTATTATCCTCACATTAGCATTATTAGCATTAGCATTAGCCCAGCGCACAAACGCAGAGAGACTAACTTATGGCAACACAAAAGAAAACATGGGAGCGGTGGAGATGAGGAGGTGTCGGCGTTTTGGCGATTTACTCGGAAGGCTTCAGTAGAAGCTGCTTGGGAGTCCCAGCAGCTTCTACTGAAGCCAGTCCCCAACTCCGGGGACTTCCGGCCGGGGACTTCGGGTGGCAGTATACGCCGTGAAGTTGTTTGCGGCCTGCCAGTAAACCCAAAGCAGAAGAAGTGACGTCAGCGGCTTCATTTGCCTAATCCTTCCCCCAGGAACTTATTCCGGTGTGAACGCGATCTGTACTTATTTCATGAGAACTAAAGAGTTCTCATGAACCTTTGTGGGAAAAGTACTGCGGTGTGAATGCGCCTATAGTAAAAAAAAAAAAAAAAAAATGTAAATGATAGTGTCCGTCCAAAAAAATAATATTACTTAATGTTACTTAAACCACCCTTGAATGATGGGATCGGAGACTAAAAGCTTTAGGAATCCAAACTATAACAAATAAGTACCCTGTATCAAGATTGATGCAAAACAAGTGACATTTTACCTTTTTAGAGAGGTTTAGAGAAAAGAAACCCACTTCTGGGGTCATTTGGGTGGATTTTCCATATCTCCGGCCCCCCTTGGTCGATTTTGATGATTGACACCTCTTTTTAACCGTTAGAGCCAATAGAATTGAGGGGAAGTTCCTAAAATCCATCTAAACATTACTCATTGGGGAATGAGTGATGCGTAGCCAGAATGCCCAAAACCGGAAGCTGTCATACGCTCTCGTAGCAGCTAATATGAAAACTCCGTTATTGACATAAATATGGTGATGGATTATCAGTAATCATTTCAAAGTGACACAGACACATTGGATTAACCTTCAGCAGCGTTTTTATCATTGTAATGCCATTGAACACAACTTTTGATCAGAAACAGCAAAAGGTAAGTCATATTTCCCGTGTTTGCTCCGTAAAGCTACGTGGTGTGATGTCTGGGTTTGCTTCCCCGAGCGCTCAGTGTTGATACTTATATTTCTAGAATCTGTGGAATCTCAGCTTGCTAGCTGATATCTTGTTTGTCCAGATCCGATAAGTAATAAGGGTATTTTACCGTGAGTTCTGTGCTAAGTGCGTCAGCATCTTTTCGCTCAGGGCTAATTCAGAGGCTTTGTTATTACCCTTGTGTTTCGTTTAGCTAAAAATGGTTAATATTGTCTGATAGCTGAGTTTCTTCCCGTTAAGTGGGTATGACACATTCATAGTGTGTTAAAGGTCCCATGTCATGGCCATTTCTACTGATCATAATTCCATTGTTGAGGTCTACTAGAATAGATTTACATTGTGCAATTTTCCAAACTCACATTGGTCTCTCATACAGCATCTCTGTATAGTATGTGTATTCACTCTCTGTCCTACACGGCTTGTTGGAGCTCCTGCCCCCCCCCTCCTTGTGAGCCCACTGTGCTCTGATTGGTCAGCTCGCCCACTCTGTTCTATTGAGTTCACCACCGTTACAGCAGAACATCAGTGATTATGTGTTACAATGGCGTTTGTAGAAAAAAAAATGACACCAGTAATGACAAACAGATGAGAATGCTGCGTGGGGTCTGGGTGCCGTGTTGGCAGGACGTTGCGAGGCTCGCTGCTGCTCACACACAGACTCACAGCCTCGCCGCGTCCCGCCGTCTCAGGCTGAGAAATCCGCGGAGCTGCAGCTGAGAAAAGATTGAGTGTGTGTGTGTGTGAGGAAGTCCGCGGATTGGTCAATTTGGACCAAACCGCGGACTTACCGTAACGGCTCCGTGGGACGTAACGGCTCCGGATTGGTCCATTTCGGTCGTTGTTACGTCACTTGGTACCAGGAAGAAAAAGAGAAATCTCCAACGAGGCGTTCTGGGGCAGCATAGACAGGCCTTTTCTGTGTTAGAGTTTTACTCGCTACAGGGTTTACTTTGAGGGTTTGTGACTGCAGACCCTTTACATGCATAACAAGCTACATAACACACACGGGTAATAACCAGAAAAGCATGACATAACATTTAAAGGTCCCGGACCTTTAAATGTTAAGAAGCCCTCAGACGCTGTTTCTTGCAAGATGTTGCGTTTTGCCCCCGCGGAAATGTTATTACAGTATCATTACTTTTACATAAGGAGGTGCTGTACATTTTTCTGTTAATACTTGCGTACTTTTACTTAAAGTGGACCTATCATGCTATATTTGAATAATATAGTGTAGGACCATACCTATATAAGGCATATTTATACTTTTTCTTTTTCAAAATACCAAACAGATCATGCATTTTAGCCATGCCTCATTTTGCTCAATTTGACATTTTTTAACTCTGGATTTGCAAGGGCAGATTCAGTGAGAACAGCACCATCTACTGGCCTGGCATATGTACTACAGCGTCTCCAGCGCTTTCGAACGGCAATGGCCGTGGCTGTCTCCTCCTGATTGGTGGAGTTGGCCCAATAGCCATAGCGCCACTGTCCTGACGTCAGGACAGTGTTCAAATGTGGATCAGTTTTTATCAGATCCGTTGCAGCCCCTTTTTTAGAGATTTGGGTATGGAGGAAAATAGAGAGGGTTGTGTTTTCTGACACTTGGTGAGTTCCCTGGAACACCGGGGACACATATTCATGTATAAAAGACGTACAAAAGTGCATTTTGCACTTGCAAAGTATAAAAACAAAGGCATTAATTAGGGCTGCAAAATGTCTCCCATTGTAATGGTGATTAGATTTTTAAATGCTAACACTTAACAGTTATTTCTGACTGTGTTTCCTGTTACCTGCAGATGTCCAGCTGCTGATGGTGGTTAAAGAAGAGGTTCTCCCTGACCAGCAGGAGTGGAGCACCAGTCTGGACCAGGAGGACCCAGAGCCCCCCCCACACATTAAGCAGGAACAGGAGGAACTCGGGATCAGTCAGGAGGGAGAGCAGCTTCAGGAGCTGGAGGAGGCTGATATCACTAAGTCCACTTTCACTCCTGACCCTGTGAAGAGTGAAGATGATGAAGAGAAATCTCAGTCCTCACAGCGTCATCAAAGACAAACTGAACACATGGAAACAGAAGCTGATGGAGATGACTGTCGAGGACCAGAACCAGCCAGTAACTCAGATCCAGAGAGCAGTTTACAACCAAAGACTGAGGATGACACTGGAGACTCTTCTGAACCTGACACTGAAGACAGTGCTGATTGGAAGGAGACCAGAGAACCTGCGTCAGGCTCAAAATCACTGAAAAATAGACAAGAATCTGTCAGTGATTCAAGCCGTAGTGCTGTAAAGAAACAATTTGGCTGCTCCGTGTGTACGAAATCTTTTAAATATAGAAGCATTATTCAGCGACACATGAGAATCCACACAGGAGAGAAACCCTTTAGATGCTCAGTTTGTACCAAATCTTTTGCATTGAGTCAAAGTTTAAAAAAACACACGAGAATCCACACAGGAGAGAAACCATACGGATGCGCAGTCTGTAACAAATATTTTTCACAGATTGGAGGTTTAAAGGAACACACGAAAATCCACACAGGAGAGAAACCCTTTAGCTGCTCATTTTGTACCAAATCTTTTGCATTTAGTGCCAGTTTTAAAAAACACATGAAAATCCACACAAGAGAGAAACCATACAGATGCTCAGTCTGTAAGAAACCTTTTTCACAGAGTGGAGGTTTAAAGGAACACATGAGAATCCACACAGTAGAGAAACCATACAGCTGCTCAGTCTGCAAGAAAGCTTTTTCACAGAGTAGAGGTTTAAAGACACACATGAGAGTCCACACTGGAGAGGAAATATACAGCTGCAATGTTTGTGACAAAAGATTTCAATGGCATGGTTATTTGAAAAGACACAAGTGTGTTGGTCGTCAGTTCTCACAGCTTAATGAAATTCAAACTAAGGATAACAGAGAGGCAGAGCCTGCAATCAGCAGCTCAGTTGAACACATGGAAAAAGAAGCTGATGGAGAGGACAATGAATAAGTCTTATGACAGCTCACACATGAGAAAAATCTGTCTGACTGAATTAACATTGTCGCACAACATTCATATAAGACTTAAGTGAACTCTTAATCAACATAAGTGGACAATATGTTTAATGTTTTTGTCATACTGATTTTCTGAGTTATACGTTCACCACTGACTGTTGATGAACCATTTTATTTTGGATTGAGGGCTCCAAGTTTCCATATAGAGATATACGATGATTTGATGTATTGTTCTTTATTTCTAAATGTTTTGTATCATTGCTATCCTGTTAATGAGCCCTGTTTTACATAAATGTACCTGTTATCTGATTGTTTATTGTTTTTGCTTCTGTGACTGTAAGGGAAGTAGGGCTGCACGATATATCATGTCGTGACGATAATCGCGTTATGCGCATGCGCGATATTCAAATCGCAGGATGATTTTTTTTTAGGATGTGCGATAATAAGTAGGCAAATGAACTCAAACACGTCATGTTACAATTATTTTGCTGCTTGCTACAAAAGGAAAACTCACGCGGCTCTCATGTCAGGGGTACTTAAGTGAGTGACATGCAGGCTCTGCATGCACAGCAAACCACCAATCACAATCATTCTTGATCAGATCACAGCAGGATAACCGAGCTAGCTCAGCTTGTTGCTCTGATAACTAAAGATCCAGAAGTCTGACTAAAATCCTTCATCCGGTTGAATATCGTTAAAAAAAAAACAATTGTATAGCATTAAAGTTCAAGAAAGGATGGTTTGCAGACAAAAAAAACTGTCTTTTCTTCAATTCCTGTATTTTTTCATATCACAATATATATCGCAGGGAGAAAAAATATCGCAATGTCAGTTTTTTCCAATATCGTGCAGCCCTAAAGGGAATACATTTACCTATTTTGGATCCTGATTACCTAAAACCGTTACATGTTATACGTTACTCCCTAAGCCTGTTTTCACCCACCTGCAACTGCTAATAATCACAAATGTTCATGTCTTTGACCCCTTGACTCGACTATTTCTTGTTTAATAATCATTACATCTCCTCAGGTCCAAGTTTCCGTGTCCTGCCTTTCACCTGCTGATCACCCACTGCTCATTTAAGGTGGACTGACCTTTACAATGGACCAGCTAGTCTTAGTGTCTTAATGCAAACGTTTTGTGAAGTGATGCTAGACCAAAAACGTGCTGTTGGGTTGTGTGCTCTCTGCAGGACGGTGTCTGTACTCAAAGATGGTTTATGAAATGAGAGCTTCACTCTGTTTTTGTTGTCCAAACGACGCCAACAGAGCGATACATCTTTCCAGCAGATGGCATAAATGTTACATCATCCAGTTCAACTGTCATCCACATATTAATGATTAAAAACAGCAATGTGTGTATGGCTAGTAATTGACTATTTCAACAGAATGTGAAGAGGTTACAGTCTTGAGGCCATGTCCAATATGTTTATGTTTTGTTTGATTAAATCTACTGAAATGAGCATTCAATGACTAAATTATTCTTAATTACTATCATTACATCATGGGTTTGCATTGCAATATTAGAACGCATAAAACCCAACTTTATTTCTTCTAAGTTGCGGGTGTTCATTGTTTAGAAGTCCGCTGTGCTTCATCCAAGCTTCCACTGTGTGCTCCGATAATGCTGAAAGTGTTGTAAGCTTTACCTGCTCCAGTAGCAAAAGTGTAATTCACTGGACAGAGAAGAGATAGTGGATGGATCCAGAGGAGAACCAGAAGATAGTCCGTATAGAGCAGGGGTTTTCAAAGTGTGGGAAGGTGAGCCTCCCCTCAGAGAACATAAGAACAGCCGCGCCCCCCCCTCCCAATTATTATTGCTATTATTATTATTGTTGTTGTGGCTATAATGCAGGGGTATTATTATCCAGTGGAATGCCCTTACCTACTGGCCTAGTTAAATCAAAGTGGTTACTTTTTTTTGGCTGGGCAGTGTAGTTTTACACACCGTCTTATATGACTTTCTCAGGACTTAAAAAGAAAAATATATATTTACACACGTAAGGTCATCATCTTAACAGTTTGTTATGCTCATCAAGTCATCCGTGAGCAGAGCTTCAAGTTGGCATGCCTATAACAGGGTTCGTACGGGTGCTGGAAATCCTTGAAAATGCTTGAAATTTCATGTGGTGTTTTCAAGGTTTGAAAAGTGCTTGGATTTTGGATAAAGTGCTTGAATTTTGGTTAAAGTGCTTGAAATTGCACTTGTTTTACTTTTATAATAAATTGCTGTCTGACTGAATAGTTCGCTTTTTTCGATAAAAAGGAGAAAGAAGTCAGCGAGCTTAATTACTTTTCATAAAAAGACAGCTCCACTCCTTTTATACATATTTTGATATTTGAATCCTTCTTTTTTTCAGTTGCAGATTTTCCGTTTTCAGATTCCAAACAATTATTTTTTCAGTTTCAAATCTTGTTTTTTCAGGTTTCACCGTTTTTTTTCGCTTTCAAACTTTTGGCCCTGATGTTGCTTGGGGGGGGCGGGGCTTACCAAAGAGTAGTTTTGCATCCTGAGTGACAGCCCTCCCTCTGTCATGTTGCCTTCATGGATGTAAGGTAGCGCGAGAAATATAACTCAACACTTTCTATACACAATACTCCCGTGATTGGTGGGAAACCAAACTGATACCAGCGTCAAAGTTCCGTTAAGCGAGCTGTTGAGCATCGTAGTTCAGAATCAGATCAGAATCAGAAAACCTTTATTAGTCCCACAGAGGGGACATGTACGTTGTTACAGCAGGAAAGAGCCACTAACAGCTTAAAGGTAGGGTAGGTAAGTTTGAGAAACCGGCTCGAGATACACTTTTTGTTATATTCCATGGAATGCTCTTAACATCCCGATAGCAATGTGCTTTGACAAAAAATCCATAAAAAAATGTCATCTGTGGAAGCCGTAATACTGTAAAAAGCACGACCAATCATTTTAGCCGGCCCGGCTAAAATAACTGGATGGCCTACCTGCCTCTCAGCCTTCCATCTGTGCATAGACTTATCTCGTGCCCCACGAGATAAAAACCTTTAAAGGTGGGGTAGGTAATTTTGGAGAAACCAGCTCGAGATCGCTAAAATTTGAAAATACACAGCCGGAAAAAATCTGCCACTTCCTTACAGAGCCCCTCCTCCAACACACACGAACGCGCACATGACCAATGAGGGCACGAGATAAGTCTGTGCACAGATGGAAGGCTGACAGGCAGGTAGGCCATCCAGTTATTTTAGCCGGGCCGGCTAAAATGATTGGTCGTGCTTTTTACAGTACTACGGCTTCCACAGATGACATTTTTTTATGGATTTTTTGTCAAAGAACTTAAGATATTCATTGCTATCGGGATGTTAAGAGCATTCCATGTAATATAACAAAAAGTGTATCTCGAGCCGGTTTCTCAAACTTACCTACCCCACCTTTAATGTTACATATGTTACATGCAAAAAAAAGTATTTAAAGGGGACCTATCATGCAAAATGCACTTTTGTACGTCTTTTATACATGAATATGTGTCCCCGGTGTTCCAGGGAACTCACCAAGTGTCAGAAAACACAACCCTCTCTATTTTCCTCCATACCCAAATCTCTAAAAAAGGGGCTGCAACGGATCTGATAAAAACTGATCCAGATTTGAACACTGTCCTGACGTCAGGACAGTGGCGCTACGGCTATTGGGCCAACTCCCCCAATCAGGAGGAGACAGCCACGGCCATTGCCGTTCGAAAGCGCTGGATACGCTGTAGTACATATGCCAGGCCTGTAGGTGGTGCTGTTCTCACAGAATCAGCCCTTGCAAAAACAGGGGTAAAAAAGTGCACATTAGGCGCGTTCACACCGGAGTACTTTGGAGTACTTTTCCCACAATAGTTCATCAGAACTACGATATATTTGCGTTCACACCAAAAAGCCCCAGGAACTAAAGTAGTTCAAATTAGTTCGTCCGACCCGCTTTTCAGTCCCTGCTAGAGAGCAAGGACTGTTGTGGGAGAAAATAGTTCGTACGTCTGATTGGCTGTGCGGAATGCAAACCACGCCCGTTTGACTCAGAACTTTTTTTTGTAAGCGGCAATTGTATTTGCTCGCTTCGGCCAGCGCACCCGAAAAGATTACTTTTGTGAAAGCAGTTATTATAGCAACACTAAATAAATCATCGGAGTGGTGGAGTGATGAGGATGTGTCGGCGCTTCTGGCGATTTACTCGGAGGATGCGAAGCGCCGCATTCAGAAGCTTCTACTGAATGCAGTTTCCGTGGCTCAGCAAAGTTAGGAGACCTGGCAAAGTCATGTCGGGACGACTACGAAGGTAAAATAAAATACAGGCACTGCACTGTTTTAATCTGTACAATACTGGTCTTAGATGTACTTCTATTTGCTCAGTAGATCGAGCTAGCCATGCTAGAACTTGTTATCATAGGTCCAAGCTGGCTAACAACATCTAGCTAGCTATTCTCAGCCGTAACCGCTATGAACATGTTTTGACTTGTGAATAAGTGTGCAATGTTCTGTAATTTGCTTCACTAACTCATGGCACTAATCGTGTGTTTCAGGCGAGGTGTTTCTCTCAGGATTAGAAACTAGTTTTCCCCTCTGGGATAAAACGATAATATAACGTTAGCAATTAGCATGCTAGCTGGACATAATGCTGCCTCTTTTAGTTGCTATAATTTCAAGTCATTTGCAACATTCATTCTACATGTTAATGGTAAAAGCTTAAACAGTTGATTACCTGCATGCCACAAAGACTGATGTTCTAATATTTTTGCACATTTAAGTAGAAATGTAATTGAAATTCTATTTATTTTTCCTTTTTTTTATTGATCGTTATAATTGTACTCAGCCATGTTATGTTAGATGTCAATCCACTTACACTGTAACTACTCTGGCCTTGAAAGAAGGTTACACATCTAACTGATGTCCACTAATCCCTATAAAACAAAGTTCAAGCATACATTAAGCACAAAACAATAAATAAGGGCACTTTGATATTTATTTTTTATTTGATATTATTTGATCCTATCTTATACTTTACACCTGCATTTTGTACACTGTCCCTGCCTGCACCATGTCCAATGTTGGACAATGTTGTCTCGTTGTTGCGATTAAACTGATCTAGTATCTTGCATATTTCACCTTAGGAAAGTGGGCCCAGGAATCGAGGTGGAGCAACAAAATACCTTTCAGGCTGGGCTTCTGGCAATGCTAAGCGAGCTGATTAAATCCAACAGGCCTTCAATACAAAAATTAAGAAAAACTTGTCGTCGTTGATAAACTGTACAATGACTTGTTGGGAGGCGTGTGATGCAGTGGTCTGGTGCGTTGGTGTTCGGATCAGGGGAGCACAGGTTCAAACCCCACTGCAGTCAGGATGTCGTTGTGTCCCTGGGCAAGACACTTCACCCCAAATTGCCTACACCTGGGACAGTTAAATTTGTATTATTGTGATTATATATATATATATGCCACTGTTATTAATACTGACACCTAACTTTGCACTAAGGTGTGTCTGCTGCTGAGCCTACCTATTGTTATTATATATATAT